ACCAAGGACAATTAAACTTGTCAAGTGGGTAGACTAGAGAAGAGCAGACATACTGACGGCCTCAGGGGGTTAGAAGCAGGCACCTTCCATTGGGAACACCCTCTTTGCAGCACTGGGACAACCTCCAGCCCAGAGAAAAGCAGCAAAAAGGACCAATTATTATGAGAGACAAGATCAGTAGAACAGGTCAGCCACCAACTCACCTCTCACCTCCTCACCCCCCCCCCAAGTATGAAGCCCCCCCGCCACTGTCCGCCTGGCTCCTCATCCCCCCCCACCACCATCCCAGCTCGCCTACTCACCCGCTGCTGCCCGCTCGTCTCCTCAGCCCCCTCCACTACCCACCTGCTCACTTCCTCAACCCCCCTCCCCACCCCACCTGCCGCTGCACGTCCACTCACCTCCTCAGCACCCTACTGCCCCCGTCTCGCCTCCTCACCACCCACTCGCCTCCTCAGCCTCCTTCCCCCGTTGCCAGTAAACCTACCCCCGCCTCCTCAGCCCCCCTCCCACTGCCGCCAGCTCACCTGTCTGCCCGCCGCTCGCCTCTTACCTTCTGCTGCTGCCCCCGCCCCCTACTGCTGGCTCACCCTCACTCCCCAGCCTGCCACTGGCATCTTCACCACCCCGCCCACCTGCCGGGCAGCCAGCCGTTGGCTGGCCCCACCCTGCTGCTTGCCTACTCACCCGCTGTGGGCCACACAGTGAGCCCACACGGGTCATATGTTGTGCAGGCCGGGTTTAACTTGTCCATTAGGTTTTGATACCGATGTCCCACTGGAGAGGGCACAAAGATGCAAGTCTCTCTCACATGGCAGAAGTGCATTATGGAACCACTCACCTCTGATCTAACTGATCAGGGAAAAACCTGACCAGATTCAGATAAGCAGAACCCACGGCTTCTAATAACTGAGGGGACGGGAATCCCTTACCCAGAGAGATCACCATCTCGTAGTTCTCCTGCATGACGTCCCTGTAGAGGGCTCTCTGAGCGGGGTCCAGCAGAGCCCCCTGCTCCTGGGTGAAATACACAGCCACCTCCTCGAAGGTCACCGGCATCTGAAAGAAAAAGAGTCCCCTAATCAGCACGTACTGCCCCAGCCACAATCCCACTTTTCACAGGGGAGGAGGCCCATAAAAAGCTGAATCCCCCCTCCCGCGCCCTGTTCAAAACAGCCAAGAGGCTTCAGCGGATGGGAGAAGGTGAGACCTCCTTGTCTCCCCCAGCACACGGAGCAGGGCAGGTCTTCTCATTTCCCACATGCCTATCAGACACAGGCTGATACGGGAAGTAGAGCGCTGACCCAGGGACAGGGATCCCGACAGCTTCCCTTTGTATTTCACAGCAGCCTCTGCCCAGTGGGGTCAGGCACTGGCAGTGGGAGTCTGGTCAGTTTTTCCAGCCCTGCCTTGAAAATCCCCTACCTTAGGTGGCTCCATCACAGCCATTTCCCTTCCCTGTCCCCTGGAAGATGGGACGAACTGGAGCGACTCGTGGACGTGATTCCTCAGCCTGTCGGGGCGAGAGGGGCAATGGGGGAGGTTCCAGAAGGGGCTTGAGTCCATGATACACCCCAATTCCTCCCATGCGCTCTCCTTACAGACAGATGCTCTGGGCTCTGCTGCGCTGGGAAAACCCTCAGTCACTTTATCACAACACAGACCCGGCCTCTCCCCCCAGCACTGAACCCCTGAGACACTTTTAACGCACCCCCCCACAAGGACAAAATCTCTAAGACAAATAATAGAAAAGAGCCGAATCAAAGGATCCACTTTGGGGGATCTCCCCTGACATTGGCCCCGAGGGCAGCGTGTCCCCCCAGCAGTGCAGGGACTCGTCCAGGGTAGGACCTGGCTTCTCCTCTCTCAGCTCCTCTCTTTGTTCCCAGGAGAGTCAGTCTGCCCACGGGCCATGCAGGGAATGGATCCGGGCAGGGCTAGGAGCTGGGAGTCTCCCTCCCCACTTCCTGCTCTTGTTGCCCCTTTCGGTCTCTCCCCTCCCCTTCCTGTCTCCTTCCCTCTCCCTCTGCCTGGGAGAACTGGGGACTGTCCCGTTCCCATGGGCGTTTGCTCTCCAGGGTGAGCCTGGCTGTGTCACTGAGGGCAGCAGCTCTGGGACCCGCAGACCCACGGGGAACCCCTCCCCCTCCAGTACAAACTCACCAGCAGGTCCCCGAAAGGGGCCCTTTGTGCAGAGTCACTTTCCTGCCAAGACCCAGTGCTTCCCCCCAGGTCTCCCCATCACCTGCAGGTTCCGGCTCAGGGGCTGGTGTGGGCAGATCCCGGGGCTGCCGCGGGGGCTGGTTCCAGGCATGGTGAAAGTCCCCAATTGGGCTGGGCCGGGGGGGGGGGTTAAGTGAAGGTCTGTCCCTGGCACAGCCCCAGCTCGGGAGCAGCAGTTTCACACTCTGGGCTCTCAGGTACAGGAGGCAGCAGCATCTGAGCCAGGGAGCACCAGCCTCCTCCTCTCCCTTGGCCAGAACCGGAGCCCTCTGGTGGCAGCAGCTAATGCCTGAGCCTCCCTCTCCTGGCCCTGCAGCCCCCAGGGACAGGCAGGCAGAGGCTGATCCCATTGGCCCATCCGCACTCACTTCCCCTGCCAGAGCCAGCAGGGATTCTGGTCTGACTCCGGTGTGGCTGAGATCTGGATCCTGCCCGGAAATCAGACCAGGGCCCTGGGCAGCCCCCAAGGCGTGTCTGAAAATAATACACTGGGAGCAGGGCGTGTGTGGGGGTGGGGGGTATATCTGGATATTTGCCTTGTAACTTTTGACCCCGTCTGGCTGCTGGGTGGGGGCAGCCCCTCCCCCTTTCCTGCCCCATGGGGCAGGGAATCTGGCTTGTGTCTCTCCCCACCCCTTCTCCCCGACCCCTACCCTCTTTGTCTCCGTTCTCCAGGCAGTCTGACTCTCACTCTCCCCCCAGCCTTCCCTCCCTACACCCCCCCTTTCCCTCACAGTGACCCCCCCCACTTGAGTTTCCCTCAATTGGAGCCCTGTTCCCATCCACCCCATAAATCTCCACGATTCCCCTACATCGCCCCATCCCCCCTTCAGTCACCTCCGTCCCCAGGCCATCCTGCCCCTCACACATCCCTGTTCCCCCCTTATCTCCTCCCGCTCCCACCCTTTCAGTCCCCCAGGAGTGGCTCCCCCCGCCCCGCACACACCGGGAGCTGGCGGCAGGGCAGGGAATCCGCTGGGAGCAGCCTGAGGCCAAACCTCCCCCTGCAGCCTGGGGGTGACGGGGGGGGGGGGGTCGGGTATCTCACCTTCCCTCCGAGCGGGACCCCTGGACCTGGGAGAGGCTCCTGGGGAGCAGCGGGAAGGGCCCTGCTGGAGATTCCCCTCTCCCGGCTGCAGCCAGGGCTCCGGGCTCCCAGCACCAGCCGCCGGGGCTCGGGGATCTCGCCAGGAGCCTGGAGCCAGAGTCACCGCAGCGGCCGCGAGTCACTTTCTGGCGCCGGGACAGACCCCAGCGATCGCTCCCCCCAGAGCCGCCTCCCAGCTGCTCCTGGGTCCTAGCGATCAACCGCTTGCCTTGACTTCTTCTCTCTGTGTTCAGCTTCTGTTACACTCACAAGCTCTAAGGTCAGAAGGGCCCATCATGAGCATCTAGCCCAGGGGTT